TTTACTAAATAAGTTAAAAAATGTTTTATAAACAAGAAAGCTTGTTTTATTACAATGTATTCATCCCACATTGATGGTGAGAGTAAACAAGAGAACGTTTCCTCTTCTATAAATAGGAAAGATTGTAAAATGTTTCAAAGGGACCAAACCATGAGAACTTCCTTATGCCTATCTTTTTAGGGTGTTGAAGGTATTCTTTGATGAGATTGTCTTTATTGGCAACTATCCATTTAAGTTTTAGAATCCCGAAAATGGTTTTGAACAAGATTTTTTTATGTTCAAACAAAGTTTCAGTTGCAAAACCGTTATGTAGTTTGGTATATTAAGTTGAATCGGTCTGGGTTTGATCAATTTGGACCAATAAAGGAAGCATTTTCCTTTTCAGCACGTACATTTGAAACTCCCATGATTATTCAGATTGTTTCTAATAATATTATAAATAAGTTACCTAAACATAAAATTATAATTGTTTGAAAAACAAATTTGATTCAAAAACACAAAATATATACAAACCGGGTTTCAATAGAAAAAACGTTTTGTAGTTTGGTATATTAAGTTGAATCGGTCGGATTTTGATCAATTTGGACGATAAATGAAACATTTTCCTTTCACCACATACATTTGAAACTCCTATGATTGTTCAAATTGTTTATAATAATATTATAAGTTACATGATGTTATATAAATATAAAAAAAATATAAATAAACATAAAATTATAATTGTTTGAAAAATCACTTTGATTCAAAAGCACGAAATATATACTCGATTATATTTTATAAATGAATTCATTTTATAATGACATTTTGAATCATGAAAATACATATAAACAAACTTTCTATATTAAGTACCTAACTGAATTTATGATTTTAGGATTTAACAAAAAGTTATTCAATAAAAACTTAATTTTTTATAGCAATTTACGAGATTACTGAAAAATGGAACTATTGAACAATTAATTTTCTGGATAACGTTTTATTTTTATTATTTAATATTTTATTTAACAAAATAAAATTATTACCAAATAAAGAAATGAGTTTAATTAAAATGTCTTCATCTCACATTGATCGTGAGAGTAAACAAGAGAATGTATTTTCCTCTATAAATAGGAAATGTTGGGAAATATTTCAAAGGGACTAAGCCATTAGATCTTCCTTGCATCTAACTTTGTAGGACATTGAGTGTATTCTTTGGTGAGATTGTCTTTGTCAACAAGTGACCAATTAAATTTCAGGAATTCGAAAATGATTTTGGACCATATTTTTTAGATTTGGATCGAGTTTAATAAGGATCCGAGTGTCTTCTGGTTGAGTTAGGCAAACTCGCTTCCATTGGAGGCCGAGTTTAAGTAACATGTTGAGTGTTTGATTGTGTTAGCCAAGTTTTAAAACCATGTATGTAATACAATTTAAAGTTCTAACCTTATAAAAGACGTCACTATTATCATATGTTCTACATAATTATGGTAATATTTATGATACAAAACATTTTTTTTAATATTTAAGATAAAAAAATTGTCTCTATTATCATATGTTGTACAGAATGATAAAATTTAAGATAGATAAAAAGATGTCTCTATTATCGTATTTTCTACATCATGATAATATTTAATATAAACATATTAATTTAATATGAAATTATTATTTAATAGATAACAATAACGATTTATTTATTTTTAAAAATTAAATTTTTTTCTATTTTAATCATATAACTTTGTATATGCAAAACAACTTCAAGTTTCAATCTTATCTCTTATAATATAGTTCAACATAATAACAATGCAAAAATTCATTTTATATATTTTTTATGAAATCATTATTTAACTGTTAATAACAATGATTTAGTTATTTTTAATATAAAATATTTTTTTATATCTCACGCAACACGTGGGTATTCGTCTAGTATATTTATAAAGGAAACATTTTTCCTTTCACCACATTCATTTGAAACTCTCATGCATTTTTCCTTTTTCACATTCATTTGAAACTCCTATGACTTTTCAATTTCTTTCTAATAATGATTATAAGTTGCTTCATAAGATTAAATAAATATAAAACTAAAGTGTAACATATATAAACTAAATTTCAATATTAAAAGATTACTTATAAAGTTATGTTTTATAACTTTTAACATATTACACTTACTTTATTAGTTTTAATATATTGTTCAATGTAAACCATTGTCATTTTAATGCTACAACTTTTGAATAATTTGTATAAAATACTTAAATTATAAGTTTGAATATAACATTACATAATCAATTTAAATATAAATTTTAGTTGAACTTAAACAACCCAAAAAATATTTTGTAAATAGTTAAAAATGATAAATTGTAGTGACTTTCTAATAATGATTATAAGTTGGTTAATAAGGTTAAATAAATATGAAACCTAAAGTGTATTCATAAATAAACTAAATTTCAATATTAAAATAATATATTTACTTCTACTTATAAAGTTATGTCTTTAACTTTTAACATATTATATTTAATTTATTAGATTTAATATGTTGTTGTATGTAAACTATTATCAGTTTAAAGCTACAAATTTTGAAAAAATTGGACTAAATAATTAAATTGTTATTTTAAATATAAAATTACAGTGTTAACTTAAATATAAATTTCAATTCTACTTAAAAAACCTAATGAATATTTTGTGAATAGTTAAAAGTGATAAATTGTAGTGATAAATGCAAAAACTAAATTATAATCTCAATTTAACTAAAATATTTCTAAAGATAATTTTATAATCGTTAATGGTTTTCAAATAAGTAGCTTAACAAAACTTACAATAACAATAGTTAAAAATAATTCTATATAAATGATTATTTTGTTACCTTTCAAATTAAAAAACAATGTTTGATGTTTTAAATAATTTTAATGATACAAGTTAAAACTTTAAACAAATAAATTAAAAAAAATAATAATTAACAATAAAAACTATAAATAACATTAAACCATGTATTATATTTAATTTTATTCATGAGTAACTCGCGGGTAGAAGTCATTCAAACGGTTGAGATTATGTAGTTATAATAGATGTATATATTATCATAAAATTTAAAATAATCAATGTATTATATCAATTTAGTATACGAATTATTATATCAACTTTAACAATAACATTATTGTTATATTTAAAAAAGCATATATTTGTAAAGATTTCAACTATATAGGTGTTTCTGCGCAACGCGCGAGCATTCGCCTAATATACTTCTAAATTTTTTTTTACTTACACCACATTCATTTGAAACCTTTATTACTTTTCAATTTCTTTCAATTAATTATTATAAATTGGTTAATAATATTAAACTAATGAAAAAATTAAATATTAATATATCAAAGTTTACTTCTACTTATTAAATTATTTCTTTAACTTTTTAGCATATTATAGTTAACTTATTGATATTTTGTCGTACGTGAATAATTGTCATCTTAAAGTTAGAACTTTTGCATAATTCATGATTTTATACAAAATAGTTTAATTATTAATTTCAATATAATGTTAAGGGTTAATTTAAATCAAAATTTCAATTAAACTTGAAAAAATCGAGAGACTATTTTATAAATAGTTAAAGATATATATATATTATAGTGGTCAACTTAAATTCTAATTCTAAATTAACCAAAAAAAAAAAACCTACGAACTATGAGACTATATTTTTTATATCATTAAGAATTTTTCAAATAAGTAACTTAAGAATAAGTTACAATAATAATAGTTAAAAGTAATATTATATAAAAAATTATAATATTATCTTTAAAAACAAAAACAATGTTTGTTGTTTTAAATAATTAAATTTAAAGAAACTAACAATATTCATTAATTAAATTTTAAAATATTTAAATTTATGAAACCAAATTAGAATAATTAAGAGTTTCTAAATACATTCTTTTACATAACTTACAAAAATAATATTTAAAAGTAGAATTATATATAAAAATTATATTGTTACCTTAAAAAACAATGATTGATATTTAAATAATTACAATGATAGAAATTATAATCTTACACAAAAAAAACTGTTTAAAATTAATTAATCATGACAATAACTATAAATATCATTAAACCATATATTATATTTAATTTTATTTCCCCGTTCCCCTGTCCCCGCCCCGCCCTCGAAATGTTTAGCCTTCCTACCCCCGCCACCGCCCCCGAATCCCCTTTATTACCCTCACCCCCACCCGTGTTTCCGATTGATTTTGGGTTGCCTTTTTTTTGCTAAAAGAAATTGTTTTTTAAATAAAAAATCATTATTTATAGTAAAATTTTATATGTTAAAAACAAAAAAGTTATAACATTTTAAAAACATTATACTAACAACTTAAAAAACATGTTAATGTTTATTTATGAAATTTGGAAGATCGAAATCATGCTATTGTTTATTATATTTATATAATTAAAATCACTATTCTAATAAAAGAATAGTTTTATTTTCCTTTTGACATGTGTTATCTTATTAAACATCTTAATTAATGCATATTATATTTTTCTTTTGCCATGTGTTACCGTATTATGTCTACTAATTAATAATTGTCACTTATCAATATTATTCATTTTAAATTTTAAATTTAAATTTCCCACTCTATCTACATTAAATTAATAGCATTAAAATAAAATTAATTATAAAGTGATATAATTTCAAATATTTATTTAAATCAATGATTATAATTTTATATATAACTAAAAAAATCTCTTAATTAATAATTTATTTAAACTAATTGATTAACAACTTTGAATTTTTAGTATAAAAGTTTAATTAATTTTGCAACCGTGGTTTCCACGGGTCATAAACTAGTATGTAAATATATGTGTAATTTATTAATGGATCCCCATGAAGATTTTCAGACGGGATTACCTACCTCCACCCTCGCCCACATCCCCATCCCGATATTTTTTAAATTTTTTTTTCCAAATGGTACAGGATTTCACAAAACTTTTTAATATCCCTACTATTATTTGCTTTATAAAGGAACCGCGATATGAAACCTGTGTGGATACGAGAAAGAAACTTATTATAAATACTTCGACGCTTCTCTGTAGATTCTCTCTCTCTCCATGCTTCATGCCTTCATAGATTCTGCGCGTATCTTCCACTCTCATCCTTCATTAGTTTTCTTATTTCATCACAACCTTGTAATCTGCCATAAAAATGGTGGTAGCTACGCAAGTTAATCCAATCCGTATGGAAAAGATTCGAGAAGTAGATATTCCAGTGATCGATCTTTCTTGCAGTCGATCGAAAGTAGCAAAGCTCATTGTAAAGGCTTGTGAAGAATATGGTTTCTTCAAAGTCATTAACCATGGTGTCTCTCATCATATAATAAAGGAAATGGAAGATGAAAGTTTTGAGTTCTTTGATAAACCCTTACCCGAAAAGGAACTATTTGGATCCGGCAACCCCTTCGGCTATGGTAGCAAGAACATTGGCCTTAGTGGAGACACGGGAGAGCTTGAATACCTTCTTCTTCCAACTAATCAAAACGCCATTGCTCAGACCTCCAAATTCAGGTAATCAGTTTCATAATTTGTTATTATTGTTCTTATTATTATTATTATTATTTTCTGTTCTTTAGACATATATGTGGTTTTACCTGTTGGTATGATGAATTAACGACAGAAAATATTACCAACTATGCATGGGCATCGATCGTTAACCAAAACTCACAAAGGTTATCATTTAAGCAAAGCTCTGAGCATAAAAAATTTCAATAACACTTCACAATGTCGGCTTACTCTATGGGTAACAATGTAAATGAATAATAAAATGTCAAATTTAGAAATAAACATTGTCACCCTTATTTAAGAATATTATGATTTTTAAATTTATGGTATTGACTTGGAAATGGTTGGTGGGAACACGAGATCTATCTTTCTTTTTTTCAAATAGAATCTTGGTTACCAATTTATTATTAGTTGTTCAGAAGAAAGTTGTAGAATTAAATAATATTTTTTAACTATGACATGTCTTTTAATTAAGAGCAAAAGTTTATAACAGACATAAGTGGGGTTATAGTTGGTATGATGTAATATCATATTAATTAAAAATAACACAAAAATATGTTCATGATGTTTTTATATATTAACCACATATATGACCAACTTTGAGTGTATAAAAAGTTAGCACCAGAAAGGAAACATATTAATTTTAGGTTATTACTTTTACAAAAAATATTATTTAAAATTAATAATATTTTCCAAATTGTGTTATCTTAAAACTAAGACTCATGCTACGATGTCATAATTATTACTGATTTTCAAAACGCCTATCAAAAATCGAGACCGCAAAAATTCTTTTCAATTTTAAAAAGAAATTGGCTGTCGTGTATTTCTTAATGGATTAAAAAAAAATCTTGTATTTCTGTACATAAGTACCATGGGAGAAGCAAACCAGTGATCACATGGGGTGACTCGGGCTCATCTTATGCAGTAGCCTATTTACTCTTTAGTACGACCTATAGTAGCATATATATATATATATATATATATATATATATATATATATATATATATATATATATATATATATATATATATATATATATATATATATATATATATATATATATATATATATATATAGAGAGAGAGAGAGAGAGAGAAAGAGAGAGAGAAAGAGAAAAAACTATTGTTAATAATTAAGGAACCAATAAAAAACATCGGATATAAAGCGTGTAACGATAAAAAAAAATTGTTGTATATTTTTACAACGGATGCATGCAGTGAATTATAATAAACTCAATTTTTTTAGTTTAATATTTTTAGGCCATGTTTTTCTCAGAAAAAAAAAAAATTATACCGTTGTTTATGATTTTTCGTTTTTTTTCATAACCATATATATATATATATATATATATATATATATATATATATATATATGTATGTATATATATACATCATTTTTTTTCTTCAAAAAAACAATTTTTTTTTGAAAAGCTAATGTCTATTTTTTATTGAAAAAATTAATAAATATATTAATATTCATATTTTTTTATACTCATTAAACATAAATTCATATTGATGTTTAAGAAAAAAAAATGAAATTTCAATTCAGATTCATATTATAACTTTGTTTCGATTCACATTATAAGCTGAATTTATATTGTGAATTCTGAAAATTAATTATATAAAGTTCAGATTTACAATGTGAATAAATTTATTTGTTAATTTTACAAAACTAATTTACAAATACTTAAAATATCAAAACATTATAAAACTATATAAAAACATATTTTGATTAATATGTAAATAGAAAGTTAGTTTCATATTAAAAATGTTAAAATTGAAATATATACAATTTAAAATCATAATGTTAATCTGAATTAATTGAGTTTTTTTAATTAATATGGATGTAAATTCCCACGGAAAAAAAAAAGTATTTAAAATGATACATCATTTACGTTGAGTAATCGAAAATGAATTACGATACTCTTTGTTGAATTTAAACTCTTAATTCATTTGTTTACCTTTGACTAATTATTACTCAAAATAGGTGATTTCATTTGTATTTATAACATTTTTCCTTTTTTTCTAATAAAATTATGTTGAAAAGACAAGATTCAGTATATTGAATGGTTATTTGTTTTTACCAAAAAAAGAAATAAACTGAGTTACGGGAAAGGCACAAAAGGTTGGAAAATAGGTGGACACTAATGTCAGAATCAGAAATTGGTCTCTGTTTTGACTACTCCCCCACAGTTTCACTCTGCCTACAAACTGCAACCTATACAAGTGTCCCTTTCTCCATTTAACATTAATATTAAAATATTAAACATATATAAGTTGATAATATATATCTAAAAGCTTTTAAGTGCTAATTTAATAATTTTAAAACTTCATATGTTTTTATAATAATTACGTGTTTTTCATCATCCAACTGGCGTTTTAAAAATATTGATTTATATCATTCTATTGCTTTATTTGTTTAAGTTGATATTAGGGGTGCAAACGAACCAAACTATTCGCAAGCTACTTGGGATTGGATCGTTAAAAGCTCGATTCGAAATTGATTTTAAACCAGCCCAAGCCGAGCTCGAACTTAATGTTAAGCTCGTTTTTTAAATGAGCTTGAGCTCGAGTCTATGTCATTAAGCTCGATTAGGCTTGCGAGCCTAAACGAGCCTTTATATAATATAATTTATTATTATTTATATATATTAAAATAAAAACATACTATGAAAATTATGGATTTAGGGTATTAGTAAACGAGTTTCTTAACAAGCCCGAGCCGAGCTTAAACTTATTTAGGCACGTCAGATAAAAAGCGAGTCGAGCTCAAGCCCGAACCGAGCTTGTATAATTCTTTACGAGCTCGAACCGAGCTCGGTACAAGAAAGCTCGAATCGAGCCTCATATAACTTAAATGAGCCCGATCCGAGCCTGACCAGGCTCGGACTCGGCTCGGCTTGTTTGCTCCCCTAGTTGATATGTTTAAAAACAAAAACTTATAGGTAATATATCCATCAAATAATTGATTTTTTTAATAAACATTTACAATTCCCATCGAATAAGATTTGGTTGAAGAATAATAGAGTTTTCAGTTGCTTTTTTTTCAATATGAACTAAAATAATAATAAAAAAAACACGTATCATAGATTCTCTATGTTTTGTTACTATTTTATATTAACTAAACTAAAAATTACAATATTCAATTCTAATCTAAAAATGTCAAAACACGATATAACCTTTTTTGTTTTAATTAATATACATGGTCAAATCGCTCAATCTTTTTCTTTTTATAAATGATATATAACCACTTTAACTTTTAATTTGTGATAATATGAACAGGTGTGTGGTGAGTAGTTATGTCAAAAGTGTTAGGGAGTTGGCATGTGAGATATTGGAATTGATAGCCAAAGGGTTGGGGGTCCCACACTCTTTATTCAGCCACTTGGTCAGACACTTTGACAGTGACTCCCTTCTCAGGCTAAATCACTATCCACCTGTCACTCACTCCTTCCACCATGGCAACATCGGCTTCGGAGAGCACTCTGACCCTCAGATCATCACCCTTCTCAGATCCAACGATGCTCCTGGTCTTCAGATATCTCTCAGAAATGGCCTTTGGCTTCCTGTTTCACCTGACCCACATGCCTTCTGTGTCAATATCGGTGATATCTTGCAGGTTTCTTCTTCGTCTCATCTTATCTATAAATCCATCTATCCATCTATGGGTAGATAGACCATGCTTGTTTCACCCAGTTAAAACTAGATAGTAAAAGACTAGGGGTGACAAATCCAGTTCTTATTGTGTATCTTTTAACTGATGCGGACAATACAGTAATTTTTATATAACAAACATCTATTCTAATAAATAAAGGGTTTTTTTTATATGTTATACTTTCATTTTTTTAGAAACCGCTAAAATATCTAATTTTAATCTAATTCTAAACATTATTTATGTCTCTTGGTAAGACCAGAACATATGACATCTCATTTGAAATAGTCATATTCTCATTCAATTTATAAATGTTATTTTTATGTTTATTTTGAATTAATTTCTTTTTAACATATTATTTTATAGTTTTTTTTTTATTTATTTTGATCAATTATATATAATAATTATAATAACTTTAGTAATAAATAAATGTCAATTTCATTAATTCACTTATCATTTTATTTCAAAATTTATAAATTAAAACTCATTAGTTTATTTTGTTTATTTATTTAAATTTAAAACATAAAAAAAACCGATTTTAATAATTCATTATTTATCTTATTTTCTTATAAAAATCTAAAGTTTTTAAATATTTAAACATTCATATTTAATTTTTTTAATTAACTCATATAATGTATGAATTTTACACCTAGTAACATAATATTGTATTTTGTTTTATCAAAATTGTTCAATTAAAACACGATAAAAACAATTAATACGAAAAAATTGAAAAATACAAAATAAAATAAACATTTAATTTATTTAATTCATAATTAATCATATAAAACACGATAAACATATGATTATATCGTGTTAATTTTTAACATGAACACGGCATGATTTTATTTATTTTACACTTATACAAAAACGACACAAACATGAATTTGAAATTTAGTTTCGTCCAAATCCAATTTCGTGCTGACATGATACGAGTTATATAATGTCATTAATATCGGTATCAACTTTTGCAATTATAACATGCAAAGATTATTTTTTCACAAGAAAGTCTCCTTAGACATATAAAAAAGAATATTTTTAACAAATACTTTTCGAATTTATAGTTTGTAAATATTCATTGGAATATTAACATGCATATAAAAAATTATAATACATATTCAGTAGTTAATAAATATCCTCCAAGTTTGGTAGATTCATAATATTTATTCATAAATTGACTAATAGAAATGTTTAATAATAAATTAATATAATAAATAAATACAGTAATAGAATAATGTATATTAAGCTGAGTAGGATATGAGTCCTTGCAAGTAAGTGTGCAGAATTAATTATTAAGTTGTGGGACGAATGGTGCTTTAGATATTTAAAGCGACTTTCTTTAAATAAAGAAAATGTAAGGAATTAACGTGACATGTTGATGACCTACCATTCAGTCTCATAACTCAAGTTTGTAGGGCTAATTTTCAGATAATATTGAGATAAGAACGACATAACTTCTTTTTCCCCATAGTGAGTCCCGGGTCCCATCTTCTTGTACAATTTTGGGTGACATGAAAATTTATAACTTTTATATTTACTTTTATTGATATCGGTTTTGATCTAATTTAGTTCAATGCAAACCACCGATGTATATCATGTTTAGTTTTATTGCTTCTCGCATTGTGAATATACGTAGTATATCATGTTCTATCTTATCATTATGATGACTGATATATCTTTTTGGATGTAGGCTATGACGAATGGAAGGTTTGTAAGTGTGAGGCATCGAGCCATGGCTAACTTGTTACCTAACCAATCTAGACTATCGATGGTTTTCTTTGGTGCACCCCCACCCGAAGCAACAATCGCTTGCCCACCACAACTACTCAAACGAAATAAGCCGATTTACAAAACTTTCACTTGGTCTGAGTACAAGTCGCATACCTATGCTCACCGACTAGGTGAAACTAGGCTTGATCATTTCAAGATTACTTAGGCAGAACAAAATGTTTGTTGTAAATCCTTTTTCTTTAGTTGCAAGTTTTGTAGATCGAGAACAATGTTTGATTGTACTATGTAGGTCTCCTATTGTACATTGTTTTGGAATATTAGTTTGGACTTAAACATGTTTTTTCTGTCTAATGCATCCGGGAGTGGACCTAGTAGGTGTCCCGGTGTGGCACCGGTAACATCTACTTTTAGAAAAAATTACGATTTTTCGATTTTTTTACCTATTTCTTCTACATTGGTAACATAATTTTCAAATGCGGCAACATTTACTATGTATTCATGCGTCCGTCCCTAAATGCATCATTTAAAATAGTGTATGTATTTTTACCATTTATGAATTAAAATACTTAACTAATTTCTATGGTATATCATTAACATTCTATTATTTCTAAAACCTAATCTTTACATTAATCTTTTGTTTTTCGAAACAAGGCACCACGACTAACAATTAACTGGAGCATGGACAGGATAAAACAGTACATATTTTTACCATATATGGATTAAAATACTTAACTGAATACTTTCATTTACAACGAGAGCCATCACTTCTACTCTAATAAATTAAATTTTTTTTCACATGTCATATTTTTATTGATTTTATCACATGTCATTTTGTGATTATTTTCAATTAAATTTCTTCGACATAACATTTTGTGATTTTTTATATTTTATTAAATTCCATATAATTTCTAAATATAATAATTGCAATAAATGTAAATTATGTAATAATAAATGTATATCAATTTGATTTTCCTTCTAAATTTAAAAATTTTAAATTAAAACCTTATTAGTTTCCTTTACTTTATTTTTCTAAATTATTTTTTTAAATTTAAAAGAAAAAAAACTTTAATTTTAATAATTCAATATTTTTCTATTTTTTCTTAGAATTTTAAACTTCTCAACTGTTTAGAAATTTATATTTAGTTTTTCATTTTAGCAAGCTCATGTAATAAATGAGTCTTACACCTAGTTTTATTATTATTTTAAATGATAAAAAAACTTTAATCTTTTACTTATTTTGTATGATAGTAATTTAGTTATCGAATACTGAAATTACTAAAAGAGTAGATTACACAAATGATCCCTATGGTTTTGGGTAATTTGTACGTTTGGTCCCTAACTTATTTTTTAACTCGGCAGGTACCTACTGTTTGTTTTTGTTATGCGATTGGTCAATATTGTTAGTTTTTGTTTCACGTTTGATCCATATCTTACCTAAAAAAACTATTATTTAAATAGAAAAAAATTGTGGGGTACCTAAGATAATATGAGGGGGGTGGGATTGGGGGTGTGTTTATTTAAATAAATCAAAAAATCAATGGCAAAATAGTCTTTCTAGGTAAGATGTGGACCAAACACATAACAAAAATAAATAGTAGGGAACTTCCGAGTTAAAAGAATAAGTTGGGTACCAAACGCGCAAATCAGAGCTGATCCATTGATTTTTAATACCTAGGACGGGATAAGAATTTAATGCCCTTGTGTGTGTGTGTGTGTGTGTGTGTGTGTATATATATATATATATATATATATATATATATATATATATATATATAAACACTAAAAATCAGAAAAATATAGAACTTGACCAAAATTTATGTTTTTGCTTCCACTCTCTAAATGACAAGGAATCTGGAAAATAATTCACAGAATCAGACATATAAATCCATTTTTCAAAATTATTAAATATAAAAACAATGGAATAATTATATACTTTGGCTACCTTTAGATATTCAGTATAAATACAAAACAATGACTTCTAAATCACAGAAAAATAACATAAATATTTTAGAAAAGATCTCTAGAAATTGTATCTAAAGCAAACTACAGAGAGGCAGAAGTGTTACCCAATGCAAACCTCAAAAATCGGACATAAATAACAAAATTCGAATTCAAACAGAGGAGAAATCAGACTTTTGGGCTTTATCGAAGTTCAATAGATCACCGTAATCAAACTCCAACTCATGAAACATACCACAAAAGCCTTTATAAGAAGAAAAATCAGACCACTATCAGTAGATATATAGTGAAATTAAAATCACAGTAATAAAAATAAAACTCACCTAAATTAGTTGAAGATAAATTCTAAATCAAGATATCATGTAGGTATTTTCTACTATAATTGAACTCAAATAAGTAAAAATCATCTCTTGAAATAAATGAAAACCACATTCGAATTAGATTAAGAAAAAAAAACTCGCTGAAGTCAGTTCTAGAGAAATCAGATCAAGAAATCCAACACACAATCAGAGGTTTGCTTCAAGTTTAGAAAATCGAACTAACAATCAGAAATTTAACTCCAACTTGCATACAAATCTAAAATCAAATGTAAAAGAATGGTAAACAGATTTTTAATGATATCTACAACTAGATTTAGATTTTCCCCGCCTCCTCAATGTAACGACCATAAAATTCGAGCCAAATTAAAACATTTTAATTCATTCAAAACCATTAAGTTCATACATTTGTTTTCAAAATAGTTTAAACATCAGAGTATTTTCCCAGAACCATATCACATAAGTCATAAAACATAAGGAGCGGTACGATCAAGCCTTCGCCTTGCCACCGTCTCCTGAAGTACCTGAAACAATACACTGAAACTGTAAGCCCGAAAGCTTAGTGAGTTACCCCCAAAATACCAACCACAATACCATACACATAACATATCATATCATAAACAGAACAGCCATGCATATTGATATGGGCATATTTAGTTATAAAATTCATGCATTATCTTAATACTTTATGTTGTTTTTGTCTCATTTAATGAAAAAAAGGTGCTTAATTAGTTTAGAATTTTATTTTTCAGCAATAATGACATGCTCGAAAGGAAAACGAAGCGGAACTAGCTATTGGAAGCTTGGATCTTGGATTTTGAAGAAAGAAGGATGTTGCTGGATAGCTTGACCCCTCATCAGTGTTTTGGCCATATCTCATGAACCGTAACTCCGATTGATGAGATTCAAAATGTTCTGAAAAGTAGACACAATTTCGGACGACTTTCATGTTTTGAGAAAATGCTGATTCTAAACGTACTCAGCGAGTAGGTCGATTACTCGCCGAGTTGGTCAGAAGTTTCGCGATTCTGGACGCGTTGGCTTGCCGTACACGGGTTTTAAGTGATGGACTCGCCGAGTAGGTCACTGGACTCGCCGAGTAGCCCCTGTTTTGTGAAAATCTATATCAAGGGACTTTCAGATCGATACCCTAGCATGGAGAGAAACCCTAGGAGGTTGAGAAACGATTGGAAGTGCTGCTAGGTCGTGAGGAACTGAAGAATCAACCCTACATTCAATTGTGAAGAGAATCAAGACAATTTTGGTTTATTCTTAGTAACTTTTTGATTTGAATCATGTTTACATACTTTGATTTCGTTTTTGAGTTTATGTTTACTGCAATCATGAGCTAAAAACTTATTCTTCTGTTAGGGTAGACAATTTTGTGAACATGGATTGATTATTTGAGTAGGACTAATTTTAATTGGTGATTATGTTTTATTAAGCTTGTTAAAGAACCTTATGTGTTAACAATAACTATTCTTCTGTTAATAAATCAGTAATTAAGTTGTATGAACATCTCTTAGTTGCTAATTTCATATGATTTACGTGACCACATAGTTGTATGTCTAGGAATAACGAATGTGAAACTAGAATTAACTTGAAGATAAGTAAGTTAATGTGTGAGCTTGTGTGATACACCATCAACAAGAGGTTAATTGAATCACCAATTTGATTAGCTAATTACAAGTCTTTCTAAACCCGAATCAATAATCTAGGAAACCCATTAATTTAGACAACTGGCCATTGCTTGAGTTAATTTGTTTTCTAAGAATTAGGAATAGCGAACAGGCGCCTAATTATCTTAATCGGTAGCCAATGAAGAATTAATCTGATACATTAAAATCATCCATGGGAACAAATGAGTCGTACCTAAACAGAAGTCCTCTTTACTATTGAATTTAGTTGGTAATTAATTGTTTTAGTTGCTAGTTAGTTAATTTGTGTATTGGTTATTCTAATTAAGTTTCTAGTTTTGTAAAACTAGAGAAAACCCCTTTCTATTACTTGTTTTATTTAGATAATATTAGCATCTATTTTAATTGTTTACCGTTCCCTGTGTTCGATACCCTACTTACCTGAACTAAACTGCTAATCGATAGGTACACTGCCTTTCGTGTGTTTGTCTTTGTGTTTAAGTTAGTAGGATTAAAACTAGTTGGTTTTACACACATCAAGTTTTTGGCGCCATTGTCGGGGAACGGTTCTAAATAGTTAATATTATTTGCTAATTGTTATTATTATTTTTTATTGATTTTTTTAGTTTATTTAGTTTATTTTTATTTTTATTTATTATGTATTTTCCAAATCTCGATGCTTTTGATGCTTTTATTGAGGAAGTAGTACATGAAATTGAGCAAGAAGATGAGGAGTGTGGATGGGATGAAGATTTGAAGAAATTTGATAGATGGTTAGATAACATCTTGCCCAATACACAAGAACAATCTGAGTCACAAGAGCTAGAGTGAAAAGATGAAGAATTTAATCCAGAAAGAGATTTGGAGGAACTAGAAAGGTTGCTGGCAGAGGGGTCAGACGAAGAACAAGAACAAGCTGAGTTGCAGGAACCAAGCTGTGGTTTGACCATTACCATGACATGCCCCCCTGTATTTCCGGTTTGTGTTTCAAAGCATGGGGTGACGATTCCAACTTTGGAGAAAGTTCTAAATCATGATCCATTTATGATTAGTATCCAACCGGTTCCAACCCTTGTCAATATTCTTGGGTTTTATGTATTCAAGCTCGTTTGGCCAATTTTAAAAGTAAAGAGCCAAATTTCACAAATTGGTCCACCAAAGAAGATATTCAATGCAACGGATGGATGGGCATCGAATTTATCAGAAGTTTATTAGGTTGGGAGTCCAGCTAAAGACTCGCGCAAAAAGAAGCGCTTGCGGGAGGCAACCCATCATTAGAGTTTGCTTTTCTTTTTCTTTCTAAACTTCTAGTATTTAGGGATAATTTAGGATTTTTATTTTGATTTATTTTTATTATTACTTGGTATTTGTTTTTGATCTTTTCAGTTTGAGTGTAAGGATGCATGTGAGGATCTAGAGTCAAGGCTGATGAAGCGAGAAATCGAGTCTAGG